GAGATGGGGTTTCACCATGTTGGCCAGGCTGGTCTTGAACTCCTGACCTCAAGTGATCCACCCGCCTCAGCCTCCCAAAGTGCTGGGATTACAGGCATGCGCCACTGCGCCTGGCCTGATTTATGCAGAATTTCTTTTTCCTTCTTTTCTTTTTTTGAGACGGAATTTCTTTCTTGTCACCCAGGCTGGAGTGCAATGGTGTTATCTTGGATCACGGCAACCTCTGCCTCCCCGGTTAAGCGATTCTCCTGCCTCAGCCTCCTGAGTAGCTGGGATTACAGGTGTCTACCACCACGCCCGGCTAATTTTTGTATTTTAAGCAGAAATGGGGTTTCACCATGTTGGCCAGGCTGGTCTTGAATTCCTGACCTCAAGTGATCCACTGCGCTGGCCAGAATTATGTAGAATTTCTACTCAAACAAAAGTAATCTCTGTGAGAAAGAATTCGAACTGTCTGCAATTGCTATTATATTACTGTAACGGGAATTCCAGTTGTATATGTTCAGGTTAACTCTGTGTCAAGACATTCCAACACATATCCATTCATTCTAATGTATGACAAAAACGCTAGCCGATCAAGTATGTATGTCCTATGGAGGGACCCTGTGATACACAGCAGTGCTGAGCACCCTTAAAATATTTTTCTAATTGATGTATTGGTCTTGAGGTCAACAGTTACGACATCCCTGAGGATACCTCCCTTGACTATTTCAGACTATCCAGATCTTCTTTCAAAGAACTCCTATAGCTGTGGTGATCAAACACCTATCATTTCCATGGCAGCCCCAAGTTTCCAATTTTCTGTCCACTGCTGACACAAACCAGCATTTCTTAAACTTGTCTTTTGTCTTCTACTATCATTTCTGTCTACTGGGTATCTTTCATACTAGTACTTAATATTTTCCTTTAAATCAGGTTTTAAAACTTAACTAATTCCAAGCAATAATATCCATGAAAACATGGTTTTATTTGCTGGTTATATTGTATAGCTATTAAAATAAAAAATGTTCACCTGTTTAACACCCAGAAATCACTGTGTACCTCCGGTGGTAAAGCTACCATACTTGGGAAAACACTGCAAAACCACTGAAATGTCATATAAGTTTCAATATATTGGCATCAAAACTATATTGCCAAGATAATCTCTTATATTACAAAAGTAAAAAACTTCTCTTAAAGAGTTGAGATTTTAATTTTTAGTTTGGAAAATATGTATTGAAAGTAATGAGCTAGGCGATATGTTAGAAGATGGGCTCTTGATATTATCTAATTTTTCTTTGTTTCAGCGTTTTGTGGCTTTGTTAACAGAAAGTTTCAGGGAGATATGGCAAACAGGCTTATTTCCAATCAGTTAGTGGAGGCTGCCCTGAGTGCTGTGTGGCTACTTTAAGCTCATCAAGAATAATATGTATGTGGTATGTTGTGACTGATTGGGGGCAGCATTTGCCATGAATGTAATTCTTTTCTCTTGGACAGACTGTTAACCCCTTAACTCGTGTACTTGCCTTGACTTAAGGGATTAACAGTCTGTCCAAGAGAAAAGAATGGTGAAGACAAAGGTGACCAATTTCAAAATAAAAATATGTAGGCCGGGTGCGGTGGCTCAAGCCTGTAATCCCAGCACTTTGGGAGGCCGAGACAGGCGGATCACGAGGTCAGGAGATCGAGACCATCCTGGCTGACACGGTGAAATCCCGTCTCTACTAAAAAATACAAAAACTTAGCCAGGCGAGGTGGCGGGCGCCTGTAGTCCCAGCTACTCGGAAGGCTGAGGCAGGAGAATGGCGTAAACCCAGGAGGTGGAGCTTGCAATGAGCTGAGATCTGGCCACTGCACTCCAGCCTGGGCGACAGAGCGAGACTCCGTCTCAAAAAAACAAACAAACAAACAAACAAAAAAAACAAAATAAAAATATGTAATTGATAAGATGAAACCACACCCTAATAGCAGATACTTTTCATTCATTAACCCACAGGGTCAAAGTGGGGTTAATTGGTGAACAATAAAATATATGCTCAGATAGCTATTTCTTAATCCCTGCATGCCAAAATATACCTAAACATTCAGGAAAAAAACGTTACAGAATTACATAGTAGAAGCTATTTGATAGTGTGATTTCAGAGGTAGCACTGAGGATAATGTAGTGTATTAGCAAACGAAGGGAACTTTAGGAAAGCCACGGGGTCTCAAGGGTTAGGTTGCCCATGAGTCCTGAATTGTCTATTCCCTTGGCATGTGAAACCGAGTAGCAAAAAAGAGCTGATGATTCACCTTTAAAGATGGCTCAGTTTCTATGCTTACCTGGCAACCCAAGGGAGGGCATCCCTATTAAGGAGACCTCACACTACTAGTCTTATCTCCCCAACAAAATGATGTGTTCTTTGAAGGTGACCAATATATATTCCACAGGATAAGAAACCTGTAATATGAACATAATAAATATTCTGTAGACTAGCTATAGTACAAGGGGTCTAGATAAAGAAATAGACTGTAATTTTGAACCAACTAAAGTAATCCATTCATATTTGGGAAAAGTACTTAAACAATGATTCTCAAGAGGGAAGACTAACATTTACTCCTAGGACAACCTTCACCTGTACCTAAGAGTGAGGTGAAATAAAGGGAACAATTCCGATCTAAAGGGAACTCTCTTGAATAGGTTCCCAGAAAACCTTCCTAACAACCTGCTAACCTACGAGGACGAAGCTAATTTGCCGTGCCAATCCGGAATATGAGCTATGTGAGTGCTAGGCATGAAAAGGGTGCCAAAGACATTTTAATTCACTTTTCTAGGAATGAAAATTGCTTTAACCTTCTTGGGGGCTGGAAAGTGAAGTAGTTTTAATCAGGGCACCTGCCTGGAAAGTTCAGAGAGAAAACAATTCATCTATGAGAAAAAAGTTAGGCTACACTAGAACCTAAAGGAGGATATATCTCGGAACATTCGTATTAGAGAAGAAGAATGGCAATTTTGCCTTTTATTTCCAAATTCTTTAACCCTTGACTTTGCTGAGAGTCTATGAAAAGAACTAGTTGGGGACTAAATTAGATAGTAGTTTATTTTTTATTTGTTGAGACAGGATCTTACTCTGTTGCCCAGGCTGGAGTGCAGTGGTACAAACACAGCTCACTGCAGACTCAACCTCCTGGGCTCAAGCAATCCTCTTGCTTCAGCCACCTGAGTAGCTGGGACCATGGATGCATGCCAACATACTTGGCTAATTTTTAATTTTTTTGAGGAGACGGGGGTCTCGCCATGTTGCCCAGGCTGGTTTCAAACTCCTGCGCTCAAGCATTCTTCCCACCTCAGGCTCCCAAATTGTTGGGATTACAGGTGTGAGCCACTGCAGCCAACCAAGACAGTAGTTTAGAAGGAATCTAAGGTGTTTAAAACCTTAAAGTGACTAATGTACACAATGTCTCCCAAAATGTAAAGTCAAAGTAAGAGTTAAACATGTGAATGCTTGCAAGAGCCAAATAACATGAATGAATGAAATGAATGATATTTGCTGGGTGGTGCAGGGCAAAGCAAAAGACAGTGTAAGAAACCTGTATATGTCCCATCTAGCATGCTAGCTCATGTGCCAGATTCTCCTCTTTTTAAGAAGTGTCATCCAGATTTTAATGTGAAAACCCATTTTTTCAATGGTGGCAATGAATTTAAACAAAACAAAACAACCCCAAACCCAAAAACTCCTCAGGCCAACTTCTAGAGGCACAAACCAATAACTTGTGTGAACAACTAGCAAGGACAAATAAATACAGAATGATGTCTCACTCCTGTGGCCAACATACACGAAAAACCTGAGGTTTCTAGGTAGTATCAAGAGGACTTTGGATTACTGCTTGCTTTTTCTATACAAATTAAAATGGAAAAGGTAAAAGACAAAAGGCAAATAATTAGGAATAACATGAGTAAATAATAAGGGTAGACTCACATGATGGTAGAAGAGCCAAGAAGAACTCTTAAGGTGACAAAAAATTTGAGCTTCAGGTAGAATATTTAAGTAAAAAAGGAAGATGTGGTCAAAATATTAAGAAAGAAAGATGCAATGGTTTACTACAATAATGATGAAACCACTAAACTCTCTTTCACTTGCAACCAAACCAGAAAGGGAAACAGGAGACCCATGAGACTACTGCATAAACCACTAGGGCCAACTGCTTGTATATTTTTAATTTGGTGCTCCAATCAAACTCAAAGGATTGAAGCATTAATTACTCATCTCCACCTGGTCGATCTAAAATGTGCATGTAATTTTTTTCATAATTTTGTAGTGATATTAATGGTTATGTTTCTACTTCCTGAATAACTTGTCTAAAAAAGATACCACCTGGAAGCAAGATCATTTACTGGCTTCAAATTCATCTGTCATTTTAAAACAAAGCAAGTCAATATCCTGTTAACTAGTATTTAACTGTTCCTGTTGCCTGCAGTTCTTTTTAGGGGAAGGTCAGTCAGAAAAGTAAATTGTTTCCTGCATTATCATACTTACAGTCAGGCAAATACCATTAGCTTTATAAGCCTGAGACAGGTATGGTATCCCTGCCCCTCTCGACTGCGGCCTAATTGCTTCATTTAATAAATAAATTAGGCATACCCTAAGATCAATGACTCTGTTGTCTAATCTTGTATCCTGGTTAACAGTAGCTCTTCCTTCCTAAAAAAAGAAGAAAAGAAAAAAACAAATTTTACTTATATTTTGAAGAGCACAAAAAATACTTTTAGAAGTCATATTTACTTTTAATTGAGCAGGATGTTTATATGTTAATACTATGCCCAAAAATCTCAGGGATCTCAAATAATGGTAGAAACACAAAGTGTGGCCAGAGAGAAGTTAACATTAAAAGAGAGATGGAAAGAAGACAAAGAATTAACAGATATTAATGGTTTCTTTCCCTCCTCCACCCCTCAAAGCCTTGCCTCATTATTGGGATATAAGAAAAATTCACCACCCGCTTCTTCATTGATTCCTGGATTTAACCTGCTAGCCCAAGGGTGAAGGAACAGATAAAAACTGACAGAGTAGTGGTTCTCAAAATGTGGTCTGGGGAGCAGTGAAGGTGCCTGAGACTTTCCGGGAGTTGAAGAAGTCAAACTTACTTTTTCATAATAATACTTTTTCTTTCTCACCCTTCATGAGTACATTGAGCAGTTTTCTAAAGATTCTATGATGTGTATTCATCACAACAGAATGAATGCAGAGGCAATATGAGAATCTAGTTGTTGTCTATTAAGCCAAAAATTACAAAGAACTGTGGTTATATAAACAGAATGTCATCTGAAGGATGAGGTAGCTGAGTGGTTAAGGCAATGGACTGCTAAATACAATGTCACTCTAATAATAATTATTTTTTGCTTTGGACAACTGTAATTTTTTCATAAAATGTTATTAGCTTCATGATTTGCATAATACTACATATGCCAACATGCATGCAATGTATATATAATTTTTAATAAATATTTAAAAATGTGTTTTAATTCGCAATACTATAAATATTGATATATATACACCAATAAAAACAAAAGCTTGTAGGGTTCTTAATTATTTTTAACAATGTAAAAGGCATCTTGATACCAAAAGGTTTGAGAATTGCTGATTTTAAGAGTAAATTTAAATAACAATGGAGCTCAAAATCACTTCACAGGCACCCTTAGTACAAAAGTAGGGCATCGGGTTTTCAATGTTTTGCAAACTAAATATACAGAGGAAGCATAATATTTCATAAGTATAATTTTTTACCTCTTCTCCTTCCGCCTCAGGCCGAACAGCATCATCCAGCTGCAGGGGCAGGCGGGGTTCAGCCAAACTGATCACATAAATCTGAAAGTGAGAGATTGCCAAAAATAGTAGAAAGCACACAAAATCTGCATCCTTTGCTTAAAAAACAATCTACAGTTGACTTAAGCATGAAGCAATGTTTGCATACATCTTTAATTGAAACTACTTGCTGAAATCAAATAAGATGATACAGGTTTTTTCACCTTGATGATTTGTTTAAAATGAGGATAATATTTTTTGCCTACCTCTATGGTTGTTAGAACAGTCAAATAAGATAACATATATAAAAATTATTTGTAAATTCTAAGATGTCTACCAATGTAATAAGTAATGACTGGGGTGTAGGCACTGGCTTACGGTCTAGCTATGTCAAAAAAGCTATGGTTAGGGGTTGGTGCTGTGGCTCACACCTGCAATCCCAGCACTTAGGAAGGCTGTGGTGGGTTGATCACTTGAGCCCAGGAGTTCGAGACCAGGCTGAGCAACATGGTGAAACCCCGTCTCTGCAAAAAATACAAAAATTAGTCAGGCATGGTAGCACGTGCCTAAAATCCCAGCTACTTGGGTGGCTGCGGCAGAAGGATCACTTGAACCTGGGAGGCAGAGGTTGCAGTGAGCCAAGATTGTACCACACTCCAGTCTGGATGACAGAGTGAGACCCTGTCTCAAAAAAACAGAAACAAAAACAAACATAAACACAAAAAAGCTATTTTCAGGGAAATCACTTAATCTCAGAGTTTCAATTAAAATAAAGCCTGCTATAAGAATCAAACAGAATAGGCCAGGCGCGGTGGCTCACACCTGTAATCCCAGCACTTTGGGAGGCTGAGGCGGGTGGATCATGAGGTCAGGAGTTCGAGATCAGCCTGACCAACATGGTGAAACCCTGTATCTGCTAAAAATACAAAAATTAGCAGGCTGGTGGCGCACGCCTGTAATCCCAGTTACTCAGGAGCCTGAAGCAGGAGAATCGCTTGAACCCGAGAGCAGAAGGGTTGTGATGAGCTGAGATCATGCCATTGCACTCCAGCCTGGGCAAAATCAGCGACACTTCATCTCAGAAAACAAACAAACAAACAAAAATCAAACAGAATAATAAATGTGAAAACACTTCAGTCATGTGAAGGAGCAATTAACATATGACTTGTTGTTGTTATTATTATTAGTTTTGAGATGGAGTACCACTCTGTCACCCAGGCTGGAGTGCAATGGTGTGGTCTTGGCTTACTGCAACCTCTGTCTCCCAGGTTCAAGTGATTCTCCCACCTCAGCCTCTCGAATAGCTGGGACTACAGGCACGTGCCACCACACAGGCTAATTTTTGTATTTTTAGTACAGACGGTGTTTCACTATGTTGGCCAGGCTGGTCTCGAACTCCTGACCTCAGGTGATCCGC